ACCCACCGCTGCGGCTGCGGCGCCTGCACCCGCCGCCGAGGACGACGCAGGGAGTGTCGCCAGCGACGCGGGCGGCAAGCGCAAGTTGGACGACATCATCAGCGTCCTGGACGACATGTCCGAGCGGGGGAGTCTGGCGGAGGCCCTTGGGCAGGCGGGCGGAGCAGTCGGCCACCCAGCAGCGAAGCGCCCTCTCACTTTCGAGAGCATTCCATCCACATGTTACTCCCACCCTTGCTTTTGGCTCCATTTACAAACTTACCTCCAGCACTGAGTTCTTTAGTTATTGCGGCTCGATCCACCTGCTGACTCTCTTCCGAGGTGCTCAGTAACTTGGTATGCATCCACATACCGGCAGCATCATACTGCCCCCCTTGCATGGCGTGCTTTAGGCCAGGGTCGAGGCTCGCGATGAAATGGCGCTCCGTCTCCAGGTTCCCGTCGAGGATCGCTACTTTGAGCAGCTCGGCTAGCATACGGGTAACCTCCTGTAACCAGGCTAACTTCTCCGCCGCCTCCCGTAACAAGGCTAACTTCACAGTAGCTTTTAGTACTACAAAGCGGGGTATCCAACGTATCTTACGCCTGCCGAATAGAAGCGGACTCATGTTCAACTTCCGATGGGGGAAGACCCAGCGTGACAATATGCCCTGTCCGGGCAGTAACACAGCTGGTAGAGATTGGGCAAGGAGTCGGCTGGGACATGACACAGGGATATCTGTTTTCAGACATCTCAGCAGGGCGCAACGGAATGCCGTCAAGGGCTCCTTTGCCCGTTACGGCACCAAAGATGGCTACTGCCCTGAAGAAGTACGCGCAAGTAGTAGCCGGGCAGAAACAGGGGTTTTCGTTGCATTCGTTTAGGTCTGGGGGAGCTATCACTCGCGCTCTTCAGGGAGATTCTTCGTCGGATAGTATGCAAAAGGCATACCGGAAGGACCCGAGGACAGCCTGGTGGTACATGGAGATTGATGGAGGTAGTCGCTCCAGGTTCGGAGGGATCAACTATGGTCCGGGGAGTGACGGAGGAGCAATGCCGGGAGCTCAACGAGTTTCCCTTGAGCGAACAAACCCGGTCACTGGCAGCGTTTAGCGGTCGGCCGTTACTGTAGCAGGGGCGAAGGGAGATATGAATGTATGATTTGTTCAATCATGGAGTATGGGATCGTTTTAAGCCCTGCGAAGATTGTTATCAAGCGCAGATCTTGGAAGTAAGGGAAGGAGTGGATATACCGGCCGTGGGAGGTGATGCCACTGTTTGATCCCATACCATATAAGGAGAAGAACTGACGTGAAAATACTGATGTATTTTGTAAATTTCAGTGGGGGCTCTTTCGCCTTTCCGGTACCTAGTTCCACGGGTCCCATACATACTCGCCAAGAGCTTCCGACAACTACTCGTTCAACCTTGACGCCTAAACAACTCCGTCTAGTTCGCTCGCGCTCGTCGGGGGTCGTGCACGGGGGTGATGTACTCCGTCTCATGGCACAGCAGCGACCAATAGCGGTGATGCTGCCGTAGAGTCACCGTACCATTGCACCATTGCACCATACAGTAGGGGCCCCCGTTTAACGACCCCTAGTGTCACGACGAAACATGGTCGCTATTCAGGGCATGTCGCTAAGCCCGGTCTAGCGACCATTGGTCACTGAACCGGGAAATAGGGCCATTTCGTGGGATTAATAGAGGCCTTGTTGCAGAAATATTCTTGGTCGGGTTATGTATGCGTCGTATTGCAGCAGTCACATGAAGGCAGAGGAAAGAAGAAGCACCTTAGGGTGGACAACCGGGGAGTAGTCTAGTTCCTCTACGGCATTCATTCTAGTCAACCAGAATGCTTGTTGTACCCTCCGAAGTTTGTGGGGAATGTCTCAACAACAAGTGTACAGAGGGTGCCCATATAGGGGTACGATTTTTGTTTTGCAAAAAAAAAGCTGTTAAGAGGGATCGTGTGTGGAGTATGTGCACACGAGAAAAATAATAATTTTCATGCCCAGGGGCGTGAAAA